CTCTTCCGAATCTCATGGCGCTGCTGACACCACATCCTCTTCCTAAATCTCCATAAAACCATCAATTGTTTTTTTCTTAATTATAAAATACTCAGGAAAACAAAAAGAGGATATGAACATGAGAAGATTGATGGTCCAGAAAGTCGCCGTCGCGAGCAACACCTCCGTCGCAGTACTCTTCCCTTCGATCAAGCGGTCCCTGGTGGTCGCACCTGTATGTATAGTTGTATACATCTTTTCTCTGTATTTTCATACATTTTTTAGCGTCGTTAATTTAGGTCTTTCTGTTAGTAATTACATCTTTTGAAAGTGAATTTAGGTCTCTGTATGCAAGTGCTCACGATAGGCTTGAGGGCTCAACTCTTTAGAAACCTAAAATTGTACGAGAGAATTATCATTAATAAATTATCTTATTACTCGGAAGAATTATTGAGATTATCTCCCTTAATCAAAAAATTAATGATTAAGCACTTTATGAAATTTTCTTGTGGAACTTGACCTCTCGGTTTAAGGAAAAAGACTTGGAAAACGTTCACAAGGCTAAAATATGATTTCGGTACGAACAAACTGGTCGAACGGCTTAAAGATGGTTCAACGACTCGGGGTTAGTGCGCTGTCACCCGAGAGGCGGCACGCTCGCTGGCGTTGCTTACGCAGAGCGCTGGATCGCGCGCGCACCTACTCGGAGACCCGCTACTAGTCGAGATCTGGCAGCACTCACTGGCTTGGGGAGTTTGCGGGTATAATGATGGCGGTTACAACTCTCGTGCGAGTCGACGTTGGTCCCGTGTGTGGCCTCGCGTCTCTCCGCATGAGCGTGCGTGCTCGGATATTAAATGTAAAACTTGCATACGAATCAATATAATAATTTATGACATAAGTTGTAATAAATAATATATCTTTTATTTTTATGAGTTGAAAATATGCTGAAGTCATGTGTAACCAAAAATATTGGGGCAAAAGTGTCCAACAATTATTATAACTAAAANTGATTGCAGATATGAATGTACATTACAGTACATTGAAAATTAAAATAAATGAAAAATATAATATATGTGTGTAACCGAAAAATCTGGGATAACGAAAAAGAGTTTAATTAAAAACTGTGGAGATACACAAACTACACACCAAGCTTTTTGATAGGGCGAAAAATGTGCGCGTTTTATATATTTAATAGTGTATTTTTATATGCTTAATTTAATCGCACGTTTGTATTTTTTGACTTATTTATTATTTGGATAGATTTATTTGCTTGATATTTTTATGATTTATTTTCAGCATATTTAATTATTTTTATAGGCGACGTAGTACCAAACGAGAATTTAAATAGACGAGTACGGGGTGCTTCATATCCGGCAGAAAATAGGCTGCAGTTGGGCCCATGTTTAATCAAAGGCCCAAATTGAATGCCCACATAAACAAAGACTCACGCATGCTGGATTGGAAAATGGGTAATTAACGCCTAATTAAGGACTTGAGGGTTGATTTATTTGGTCTTGCTGAGACGCCACGCAGACATTGTTTTGGCTAAGGAGAATTACTTGCGCAAGGGGACTTGGAATTATTTCGGGGGATTTATTTGCGGGTAGCACACGCACAGAAAAAAAAGGCAGCGACACAAAGAGAACGGAATTCACGCACGGATAGAGAACAATTTCACGCGGAGAGAAGCCGCACCCGCACACGAGGGAGATTTATTTTCTCTCTTTTATTTTTTATTATTTATATTTTAGTAGCATGTTAGGTTAGTATTTTTATCCAGTTTTAGGGGATGTTTGAACCCTAACTTGAATTTGTCTATGAATTTAAGGATTTGAATTTATCGTTGATTAATCTAGACGTCGTATTTATTTTTGTTGATGAGTTGATTCATGTTATCTGTTTATAACGTTTATGAATTATGGTGTTTGATTTAGTTTGGCCAGCTAGGTTGAATATTCATAGTTTAATTGCTAGATTCGAGACTTTAATCCGTAATTGTTATTGTCTCGTTTCGTTAGTAGTAAACTAGGGGTCGTGCATCCTTAGGGTAGCGTGAGCATAAGTTAAATGGTCCGAGCTTTTGCGTCCATTACTTAGACTGATCTATTTTCCTAGAAATTAATGCTGCTAGTGTATTAAATCTAGAGAGCTTATTCTAGGTTGTCCGCTAGTTAGGTTTAGTCGAAGAGCCTATTTCGATTAAATATTCGGTAAGGGAAAATTCGGTTAACAGAGCTTGCTGTTAGCTAGGGTCGGTAATTCATTAGCAATTTGAAGAAAGCGTCGAAATTAATTAACGGTAGATTTAGATTGGGTGATAACTGAACCGAAAACTAGACTTCTCTCATTTTATTTAATTTTTATTTAATTTTCTTATTTTTATTTTTATTTTTATAAAACCAATCTCCCCCATCTTTTATTGTTTTCCTAGTTTAATTCAATTAATACGAGATTGTCACAATTTAATTCCTACTCCTCGTGGGATCGACCCTTACTCGCCACTACTACTAGTTAGTAGAGGTTAGTTGAGGAAAATTATAAATTTAAATTTGCCGTGTTGCGACGCGCGGTCACTTTTATTAATGATATTGACACATAGCACGCATTAACCTCGTCATAAACTTAACAACAGTTTTGCATGTGATCAAATCAGCTTTGGTTCACATAGAGTCATCAGTCTCATCTGAATCACTCCCATCAGGGTCAGGCTCCCCACCTACCATTCCAGTTTCAGGCACATCTGGCTTTGCTGAAGATGTTGAAACCACATTCTTACCAGTATTAGTGGCATCAAACTCTTCTGGTGCCATTTCAGCAGGTAATTAATCAGTCAAGGACCATCGAAAACTATATTCAAATTATGCGTTTATGCAATGAAAAAACCATAACACACAGGTCATGTGAAACGATTGGACTACAATGCTAAAAAGAGAAGAAGTTAATGACAAGATTTAATGGGATCTTATACCTAATAACCAATACCTTTTTTTGCATGGAGATGTATTATAAGAGTATCAAAGGATGACCATCGAATTACAAGCTTCATGCTCTAACCTAGAATACTTATCATTCACCAAAAAAAAAAAAAAAAAACAAAAAAAAAAAAAAACTCAGCTGTAATAAAGAATGTTTTTGTTACTTCTATATAAGTAGAGAAAGTGCATTTTTGTTATCCACCCACATCAGAGATAGAAAGACATACACACATGAAGCGTAGCGAAATAAAAGGATATCAATATTCTCAGCTGTTCCACCAGCCATGATGTTTTGCAAATCTTTCTCGACACGACGGACAAGCTCCGGCTGCCAAACAACACAATATCGTTAATAAGTGTACTCGTAGATTATAAAATATATGTATCACACATAAACATCACGCATTTGTAGATGTTAATAAATGGAAATCTTATGTTACATTTAAGTCAGGCTCCCGCCTAAATCTTCGCCTTTGAGCATCCCTCATTGGTGGAGTAAGCCCATGCCTGTACTCCCCTGTTTCTGCACTTTCACCCTCCTCTCTCACCATTATCATCTATCATGACTTTAAACTGTTTAACTTGACCTTAGCGAATACAAATATCTAGGAAAATTTGAACAATTATGTAACATACTACCTGGCCAATATCTGCAGTTTTGATCAACACATTGTCGTCATATGTTTTGTAAGACTCTACAACAGTGGGAAGATCCAAGAGGGATGCGGAGAAACTGTCATTCCCGATTACGAATTTGCCAGTCCTTCCATCATCTATAACAAAATAAATAAATAAAATGTAAAAAAGTGCAACAAAAGTCAGAAGAACGAGAACAAACTGGTGATATTTAAGCGCATGAACACTGAAGTATTGATAGAACATAAGAAATCACTATGTGAGGTAAACTTTGAATGTTCAAAGCGAAAAATCAGCATATCACCAGAAAATGACAAGTCCAAGGATTTGTCTTCAGAAGAAGAAGAATCGTTCAACAGACGCTCTATTCTCTCAGCAACGGCTGGGGGCACTCTCAGTATAAATTGCTCCTCCATATCCTTTCCTTCGTTTCTTAGCAAGACTTACTATTATTATCAGTAAAAGATCCAAACATGTGAAAATGTTGGAATCCACAACAATCACAAACCATATAGATGATAGATAAGGACACTATACACAGGTAACAGTAGTGCAAACAATAATTTGTTAATTATTCAAGCACCAAATCAGCTACCAATTTCTTTTCCAATATTTAGAAGTTAGAACCCATTTCAACAGGAAGAAGAATGTATTTGACCTTCAGACACTGTTCTATACAAAATAGAATCCATCAATTCAGTTTTTTCAAATTATAGAGAAACATTACAGGCTTTGCAAATTACATCACTAAAAAGAAAAGACTACTATCATCAACCGAATTTCTTCAACCCAACCTCATATGGTGCTATTATCTTAAGTCGTGAGAAAAGTATACCAAACACAAATAAATCAGCAGGAGAACCTCAACATGTGCATACAGTAATGCAGAACTCTACACAATTCAGTTGGCCCATGTTATATAGATATCTTACACAGGGCCAATCCTGATAGAGTTAAGGATGAAAGCAAACGAAAATAAGAGATACTTGATATCTTAAAAACAACTCGGGACGAATCCCGCCCAGCCTAAGGCCGATACTTCAGAAAGAAACTTTATGCCCAAGGTTAAAGCCGACAATCCTATTCAACAAAAGATACACTAGGCATCAATATTTGTCAACTTAAATAAAGTCCTAAACCTATTTATAACTCTAAACTCTAAGCCAATGGGCCTAAAAGCTCATTATTGAAATTAATGAAATAACAATAGATCTCTCACAGGCAGAGTTCAAAAAATTGGGCTCCAAATTAATCACGTAAAGATAAAACTTTATTCGTATTATCATCAAAATCCATTAAAATCTAGAGTTGTAAATGCTAATCAAATGTTCACAATCTACTTATCTAACCATTTCTTTTTTAAAAACAAGTTTTTCAAACCATTCAGTCTCCACAAAGCTAGAAAAAAAATATTTTACATATTACCCAATAACCAATTAATCATCCCAAAATACAAGTTTATGATTTATAAGTCATAAAAAAATGAGTCCAGCGCAAGTTCATGTCAAGCTAAAAAAATCTCTCTTTACATTATTATAACAAAAAAAAAGATGAATTTTTGATTTGGGAATTAAAAATAAAAAACACTCCAAACATCTTATAAACATAAAGCATATGAAAAGCATAAATCTCCCCTTGACCAGACTGTATTTATGACAAATTAGCGTCTCGAATAGCATCTTCAGGACAACAACCATTTTAGTTGAACAGGAAATCTGAAAGCACAGAAGACTTCAAAGAAGAAATTAAAAAAAAATAAAAAAAATACTGAATACATTGGAAAATTCGACTTCAAATATTTTCTATTTTTTTCTATTGATTGATTTGACACTCAAAAATTCAAGATTGAAGCTTCAGTACAATGCGTAACAACACCAGGAGGTATAGTTAAAGGATTAATTAATACTTGGAAAAGTCTAAATAACAAATCACTATCAGGACTACCCCTCCGTAAGTAAGCAATTTGCACAGAGGCAATTAAACTAAGGAATAACGGTTCAGGTCACAGCATAAAGCTTTATAGCGGACTTTTTCGGCAATGATTTCACATCGGAAATCAAATTTCGATTTGCGCCGGTAGGAAAAGAAGATAATATAATCTAACGTGATGATGATGAGTAAAAGAAAAACCAATACCGTATTACCGTAATAGGAAGGAAGAACAGGTGAAAAAAACGCAGAATTAGAGTCAACTTACCGATACTTCTTGCAAAAGTAGATCCACAGTGAAGAGACGACGAAGATTTTTTAGGGATTTAGGCTGAAATGGTTCCCAAATTATAAGACATTTTCTTGTTGGAGGGAGCCACCCCCATTTTGGGCCTTGTGAAAAAAAATAAAAAAATAAATAAAAAACAATAAAAAAAATCATTTTTACTTCGTAGGTATCGACTTTCGAATTAATCCGTTAAACAAATTCCGGATACTTTAGGGGCTCGTTTACTTTGTGAGATAGGATAAGACTAAATAATCAGGTTAACTTTACATGTCAGCATTTAGTCCCTGTTTACTTTGAGGAATGTACTTTTGAGAAACAAATCCCTCATTTACTTCACTGGATTAAATGAGATGTTAGACCGGGAAATCCCTAATATACCCTTCTGTACAGCCAAATATAGGAAGTAAAACAACAGGTATCCAAATATCCAAAAATCTAAGGCAAAACATAGATTTGTAAATGAAAGCATACAGTACGAACTCCATCTTCAAAATAATTATGCACATCCACACAAAATGCACATTGAACAAGATCTATGTGTGAAGTGTAAACTCATTTTTCCACAAACACACGACAGAGAAAATGAAGGTATATGTGCAATACCATACTCAGTCGGATAAACATGGTGCAGTTCAAAAAACACATTGTTGGGGAAAAAAAAATATAAACCCGAAACTATCGGCAGCCTGCTACAACTCGAGGAACACCATTAATCTTCACAAATTTCGAGCTTACCTTGCGTCCCGACGGAAAAACCGAAGAAATATGGTTTGTTCCCCCACCCGTGCTTGTCTCTACAAAAACTAGGACATAGTGCCCCGTTTTCAAACAAATTAGAATTACGATTCAAAATGTTAAATATGCCCAAAATGAAATTGAAAAAAAAAAAAAAAAGAGTGGTATAAACATTGCAATGATCCGTTTATCCCCAGAAGAAATAGAGTTAAATAGAGCAGGAAGAAAACAAATAAAATTATTTGCATTCTGAACAACATCAATATCTGGCATCTGCATCACCATATTAACGGGAGAATTTAGCCGAGTTTGGGTTTCTAACTTTAATAACAGAATATTCAAATGTATACACACCACAATACACAATTAATTTCAAATTATTAGAGATATTTGTACATATTCTTGGACCAAACACGGCAGCATAAAATTCAAGAATCACAATGCACGAGTACCAGCAATTACCATAAACAAATTACTCAAGAAAGACGCATAAAATTCATGTCTTTACACAGATAAACATAAATTGAGTACCTATGTGCTTACACCATAACCAGAAAAGAAATACCAAACACCTCCTCCAACCCAACACAAACCCTCATCAAAGAGAAAATCCAAACAAAAACAGAAGAAAAGAAAATGAGCGTTAACAGTTTAAATGGGTTTACCGTCTGACGAAATTTCTCGATACTGTTGCTGCGATTGTGTAGAGAATTTCTAGCCTTTACCGATTTATTTATGATATTTTCAGCCAACGCAGAACAATATATTTCTTCGATGTATCAACCCGATATTTCGACAAATATTTTGTAGCAATGATTTTACAGAAGATTACTTCGAACATGGAGCTTACCTATCGCTGGAATTACAGAAGATTGCTTCTTCCTCCTCTACCCCTCGTCGCTGCGCAAGAATTAGGGCAAACACCGGTTTCATCAATTTTATATGGGACAAATTTGTAATAATGCTGTCAATTGGGGCTAATCTGGTATTTTGGCAGCAAAAAGTGAGGGCAAAATGGGTACCAGATTTTTGGGATTAAGTTATCCATGGGGTAGGCCGGATTTTTTTATCAGCTTCTTGGGGATAAACAAGAGGACCACACCTGCCACATAGGCGCCACGTCGTCAAAATCCTATCCAAATCCTTGTAAGTAAACAGCGGAAATTCCAGGATTATTTTCTTATCTAATCATGTCCCTCAAAGTAAACGAGCCCTAGGTCGCAATTGGTTATATAATTTTTTACTTTTTATTTTTTTTTCTGAACGGGTGATCAAAGTAAAAAATCATAAAATTATTTTCTATAATATCTCATATTTTTCTCTTCAATTCCACTAAAATATTCAAATCATAATTTTTATTATTGTATATTCTAATAAAACTATTATTCATTAACTTAGATATTTCTGACTATAAATTTTACTAATTACTACTTTATTATTTTTTATATTATATTTATTTTATAATCACTCACAAACTTATATATATCTCACAAGATTCCTTCCTATCCTTCCTAATGTGGAGGGCTTCGGATATGTTGCAAGTGTGATGAATCGTCATCACATCTTTGTTATTTAAGGTATGTGAAGTCGACTTCGAGATCTAGGAAGTCGACTCATAGATATGCGCGGATTCGGAGGCTACGCTAGGTTTAACCATGTAGTGAAGTCGTCTTCAGAGAGTCGTCATCATCTAAGTCGACTAGTGGAAGTCGACCTAGATTGTCTGAATGCTTGGGAGTTATCCTCTTGATGTTCTTCTTTCATTGATGTCGGCTAGTAAAAGTCGATAGAGGGTAGTCGACTTGGTAGAGTCGACTAGACCGATTTCTGCCTCTCCTCGATTGCTCTCGGTAGGGTCGACTCTAGGGAAGTCGATTGGTCATGCCGGCGGAGTCATGTCGACGTACGAGTCGTTCGAGTGGCTCGCCGGTCGAGTAGGAAGCTTCTAGACCGGGTTATCCTTATGTGGCTATATCATCTAGTCCCCCCCGAAAATTACTCTAAGCAGTCGACTGCTTAAGAGTAAATTTGGCGATGTGTGGTTTCGCTGTCTCCCTGCGATACTTGCTCGTCTTTCGTCCTCTTTGATAACTTGTCTCGTCAATCCATCGGGGCGCCTCTCAACCTCACGATTGCTTTTTAGGATAAGTCTGACACTCTGACAGACCCCCTTTCAAATTTCAAATTTCAAAAAACCCTAAAGTGACGCGCGTCACTTCAACCGCCGACTCTTTGGATTCTGTGCCTCATCAAGACCGTTGGTTCCCTCGTTGATCCAACGATCGTCGTTCGTTACTCCTGTTTATAAATACATCTCCTTTTCTCCAAAGGTTACTTTTCGCATTCTCGAACTTTCTGCTTTCTCCAGCTTCTTCAGATTCTCCGGCAATTTTTGCACTTCGGCTTCCCCGGCGTTCTCCGCTTCCGGCAACTTCAAGTTCGTTCAAGGCTTCAATCCACTAA